TCGCCCTCGCTCGGCTTTCGCCCTTTTTTCAACGCCGTAAAAATCAAAGAGAAAACTGAAAAGGGTTATCCATTTTTCCCATTTCGTAAAACTCGTTTCCGTTTGATTTAATTAAAGAGTATTCACAGTTTTCTTAAATTTTTAATTGATTTTTAAAATGCAAAGAAAATCTAGAGGTAAAAAATTGGCTTATCTTTTGTGAAATGTTGAAATTAAAATAAATTTGATAATAAAATTTTTCTCTTACAACGGAAACAGAGGTTATTTCATTAATGTACAAGATAATCAAGATAATAAAATGATATTAATTGGAATACTTTGAGCTTATTTAAATATTTTATGTCATTTACATGTACTTTGTATTTTTTAAATTCAATAATTCTTTCTCTAATTAATTTTTTTTTTCTGTTGTGACAATTAAATAAAGAACAAATAAATATTTTTAAATTTACAATAAAGCTGTTTAGTAAGTTTCAAAGGTAGGCTTTTCGCTCGTCAGAGGTGCGTATCAGGTTGCATAACCGAACAAAATTAGGCGCTGGCTGTCCAGAATTCCACGTTAATCGAAAAAGGAGCCGCAACAACTTCGCCATTAAATTAGAAGGGTTCTCTAGCGGCGAATAAACTATTCAGAAAATCTAATCAAATATTAATTAGGCGCGCTCGCCACTTTTGGGCTCGCTTTTCGCTGGTCGCTGCCTTGGTTGGGGTTTTTTCGGCACACACTAGAGAAGCATGGCGAGAGAGGGTGCGAGGTGGAGTCGCGGCTGCGTGCGCTGCCCGCCAAAATGGCGCGCCCCGTATGCAAATGACCCACGCATAATGGGCAGGGGTGGAGTCGGCAGAGGAGGGGCGATGCAGGGGAAAAACGGCGGACGAAAAAACGTCCGACCGAAAAAGACTCGCCGAGAAGTGCCGCGCTCTCGAGGCGAAAGATGCAACCTTCTCGGCCACACTTTCCACTAGATTTTTCTCCTCTGACACAATTTTTCACTTGGTGGGAAAATTTGAATGAATTTGAAAGCGCGATGACATATTCATTTATTTATAAAAGGCAGTTTTGATTTTATGGAGCAAAAAAAAAAAGCAAAATTATATAAATATCATATTATGATTGTTGATCTTATGCTTCGTCTCTGCGATTGAATTATTTATTGCGACGCGCGTAACTTAAAACGTTATACAAATTAATAAAAACAAAAATAATAATTAATTATACATAAAAACACTTCTCGGCTGTAAAACTTGTAATTGTGATCAAAATACCTCAGCTAAAAACTCCTATGTATGCAGACTACTGAAAAAAGCCAATCATTGAATTCTTAAATAATCGAAAAGCAGACGTAGATTTTACTCCTTTGTTCTTTGACTGTGTCTTATTAAAAACTGAAATTGTCAACCTCTAGAAAAAAATAATGCAATTAACGACATAATTTATATTTTTTGTTTACTCAAGTGAAACTAAATTTTGAAATTGAAGACAAAATTAGCAGTAAAGATATAAAAAAACCAAGCAGAGGTATGCTGAGATGCATAACATAAAAAGAAACACAGCTCACTAATAAAAAATTTATTTTTTCTTCAACAAGAATTACAAGATTTCAGTGTTGTGCGAACAAATATGTATTTATAAAATAATGTATCAATCAATTGAGGAATCAACTTTCAGATATTTCTTTTTTTCGTTCAATTCAATTCATTTTATTTTTCTCCAAACAAGTCAGAACAATTCGTTTCATGATTTATTAATCAGATTTGAGTAATTCTCACTCAGACAATTTTGGTTTATTGAACTTGTATATTTTACACGTAAAAATTAAACACAAACCAAAACATAAATTATTGTTAATGATTCTAAGTTGGGCAAAAACAATTTTTCCGTTCAGCTTGTGTATTCTATATTAATTTTAAAACTCAAAGTAAGCATAAAATTCAAATTAACATTTGAAAAAAAAACCGTGCTAAAAAGTTCTATATAATCGCCGGTGCTACAGCTCATCAGAAGGCCATAATAGTTGAACAAAGTGGAACAGCTGCTGCTGGACCGGCGATCAGAAACAATGATCTGTAGCACAAAGGGATGCTGCGTCTCGCAAACCAGTTCGGCCGGAGCGAGTTTTTCCGCGCGCTCCTCATTTCCATACATCTCTCGATTCTCTTTCGACCAAAGAAGCATTCCCAGAGCGAATTTAATAAAGCACGCGTCTCTCGGCTGCGTTACTTTCATTGTTTCCCCCCGAGAGTCTCTAATTTCCCAGCCGGAGAATGTTCCCTCGGCTGCCTTGTGATTAAGTTAATTGTGCAGCAATTTATTTATTTTGGCCGTTGCCAAGTGCAGAGAGAGAAACAAAGCCCGGACCCTCGCAGCGGCCGAGCCGTTTCTGCGCATGAACGTCTTTTTTATTTCTAAGGAGCTGCGAGAAGGGGTTGGTCGCTCCGCCGGGCGGGGGTGATGCATGGGGCAGGATGCGAGCGGAGATAGCAAGGGTTCTCCCCGGGGGCCGCGCGCCTGCAATTTATCGTCTTACGCCGGCACACAGGGGTGAATTTATAATTTCTGGAGAGAGAGAAAATGGAGCCACCCTCTGAAGCCACCCCCTTACGTGTAGTGTGACTCATGACTGAATCTGATAAAGCGGCCCTTTTCTCTGACGAGGGTGCATGCAAGGAAGGACTTTAGAAAGTGGTCTCGGACCGAGGGGAGCGCACAGATGGACCGTCGAATTTAGCAAAGGGCAACGAGCTTCGTGAGAGCAAAATGCGTTCCAGAAAAGTGCGAGGGAATTAAATATTGACGCTGCCAATAAACGTGCTTCATCGTCCGCAGGGGAAATAAAAAGCGGGTCAAAAGTCTGCATTGTTTAATTGATTTAAAATGAAATGATACGCTTTAAAAAAGGGGAGTTTTTTTGCTTCAATCAGTGAGATTTATTTCAATTAAGATTCTCTGAAGTATACATAAAATATTGGCTTCTAATTTAACACTAAAAAATCGTTAAAATTTGAACACATAAACTCAACTTTTTTGTGCGAAAGAGAGAATGAAAATGAATAACATTAATAAATGAATATAAAATCAGAAAAATGAATGGTACGTTGCAATCCTAAATTCCTAATTTTGTCATTTACACACTAACCAAAAGACGTAAATGTTTTGTATGAATTAATTAAGTTTATGAATTGATAAACTGTTAACTGTTTCCTAAAAGATACTTTTTTACTATTTTTTTTATGATTCCAATAAGTGAAACATAAAAAAACTTAAAAATAAAACCAGGTTTTCATCGATTTTTAAATTAATTATTAAAAAGATTAAAGTTATTTTTAATATAAATAAATTTTAATTTATTAATAATTATTTTAAGTAAACATGTGGTGATAACATTGCTTTATTCTTTAATTATGCGCATATTTATTTATTTAAATTTGAACCCAATAAATAATAAAATTTGCAGCTCCATCCTACATAAGTTGGTAAGGCATCAGATTCACATTGATTCATAAGGCTAATTTTTTCCGTCTCATACATTTTGACAAGGTTGAATTAAGTTAAAAAACTCATAATTTGTAATCAAACTTTTATTATCTCCGAACATTCAATATTATTGCAGAACCTTTTTGGTAACAAAGAACGAATCTTGTAATTAGAATAATCAAACATATAAGCAAGGGGCGAGCGGATTCCTTTTCATTTCGATTTTTCACATGGCTTGGCGCAACAACAATTTCCTCCTGCGGCGTCTAATAAATGTAAAACACGCGCGCGCGCGGCTCCATCAATTCAGGCACGTCAGATAAATGTCTGCTGGCCGCAGAGAGACGCGCTGCACCCTTTCGCTCTGAAAGGGGACGACGAAAGGAAAGAGTGAAAACAAAAGACCCCTTTCGCAATTTCCTCTCTCCCAATGACTCACGCCGAACAAAATGACCGCCCGGTCGTAAGAAACTTTTCCTCGTGTTCTACACGGCCGTGTTTGTGTAATTAAATCAGGCCCCTGGTGATCGCGGCCTGACATGAAATTAATGAAACGCCGAGAGTGGATTACGGCGCCGAGCGTGATTAATCATGCGTCAACGGCAAAAACAATAACCCGGCCGAGGAATTCGCCAGAGTTTATGCGAAGAAAAAATACACAGGAGGTGATTACGTCGTTCCGGTCGTGTGGGCGATGAAAGCGAGACGACCGACCAGCAACAGCCGCCGCGTTTGATCTCGAAGCTATTCAAGCGCGCAAACCTGTTTTTCATTGGCCAGGTTGTGAATAGGTATCTTTTTGGAGGACGCCAGATTAAATGATAAATAATTCGCACGTGTTCGCGGAATTAAACTTGCAAATAGCCAAATTTACTGAGAAATTATTGTTCCTAATTTTATTAAAAAATAAACTTAAACTATTTTGAAATTATAATAATTGAGAAAATGAAAACACAACGTTTTTATTAAATCTTTTATTTGTAAAATAAGTGTTATCATTCGTGGGTTTCATGAAAAATTTAAATCAAGAGTTTAAATATATATGCGGAAATGAAGAGATTGGGTTTTATCCTCGTTGCTGAAAAAATTCAAGGACAACAGACTCAAGACTAACTTTTATAACTGAGGCGGCTTAAAATTAAATATTTTTTTTTTTTTTTGAAAGATCAATGAACAGTGGTAGTGAAAAAAAAACGATATATTTTGTATTTTGTATCAATGTTGTTATTTTTATTTTTTTTTTTTTATATAGCTGACATTTTTGCTTGGATTAGGTAGATGACTTTTTATGCGTTCTGGAAACTTGAAATTGAAACGGACCAAATAATCATACCGAAATAATATCTGAGATCATTTTGCCATATGAGGAAAACTTTAATTTTTTCTTATATGAGAGCGCGTTTTTTTTACATTTTTTTCTGAACAAAGGTTTTTTTAAGGCTTACTTTATATTTACGTATTTCACTTCTTTTGATATATTGTATATAAATTATTATTATTATTAATTTTTTCTTAACATTTTCAGGTCAGATCTTCTCATCAACCCCTGAAATCGACGTTCAAATGAAGGTAGGAGAATTTTTTTAATTGATTTAATTATACAGATTGTTTAACAAGACGCTAAAAATATTTGATTTTTTAAACTGTTGTAACAAATTGAAAGATTTCTGCCGATACCATTTCCATTCAATGCATTATTTGATGTAAATTGCGTAGATTGAACCATTATTTTAATTAAGCGCTGAGCGTCCAATAATGAATCTGCTTTGCTTCGCCCACACGTCCGTGCAAACTCTCAAAAGTTTCGGACGCGCGCTCTCTCTTGCTCTCTGGACTAATTAATTTCAGTCAAACACAACATTTCATTTGAGAAACTTTGCTGCCTGTTGGCTTTTCGCTGGAAATCGCTCTTCCCACCTCTCTTCCTCTGCCGAGCTCAAATTCGCGCAAAATTTCCTCAAAGCACGATCGCTCCCGGGGCGGCCGAGATCAAATTGCAGAGTTCGGCAGCAGAACATGCAGCCCCGAGCACGGAAGAAAAGCAAAACGAAGGAGGACAAACCGCACGCTCAGGTCTCTATTTCTAATTTGCGCAGCCATAAAAAGACGCAAGCCGTACATATATATAAATTTGTGAGGCGGGGATGGAGAGAGTTTGCGTCCAGTTTCACTCCTAAGTGCTTAATTAAAGGATTCGTGCGTTCGTCCGTATAGGTCGGAACAACAGCCAGCGCTTTCAAACAAACGCCAGGGCTGCTTGATTCCTTTAATGTTCTGGTCGTGTGTAATTTGCAGCAGCAGCAGCTCATCTAGGCGCCCAGCAGGAACCGCTCTTTGTGCCAATAAGGTGGCTGCGCCGCGTTAAACAGGGGTCGAGGCGCCGTGTGTGCTCAGCAACCTCTCTCGCTTTCGATCGGACACGTAATCAAACACACGCCAATCGCAAACACGCCAAAATTAATTTCCAACCCGACATGGATTCATGCATTTAATTTCTTATTTCACGACCATTTTTTTGATAAGAAAAACGCGCGCTGCTTTTACGGCCCATTAAGTTTTACGTTCGTGCCGCAGATTACGATGCAAATTTCGGCCCATGCAAATGAACAACTTGGGGGTATTTTTATAGGTGAGATTTGCGCGCTGTTGTTGTTGTTGTCGGGACAGGAAAAGCAGGGGGTGCGCTGGAAAATCGCACGAGGGGTGGCTTCGCTCTGGTGCTTGGCCAGTTGCTCGCCAGGTGGCTTCTGCGGCAATTTTTTTTCAAATTGTTCACTGATTTGTACAAATTAATGTTAATTATGAAGAAATTTTTATTTATCATTCGTAAATTTTTAGCCTGGTAATGAACGCAACTGATAATTTTCAAGTGAACACCAAATATAATACGGAGTTAATATAATATTAATTTAATTTTGAAATGATTAAATGGAAAATCCAGATGAAAAAATTCACAACACAAATTAAATTTGAATTTTTGATATCTTTAATTGTGTTTCTTCTGTACAATATATTATTGTTAATTGTGAATAAAAGTAATATATAAAAAAAGCAAGTTATAATTATTTTCTTTAATGAAATAAAATTTTAAAGTTAATAAAAGTAATAATATTAAATAAAAAAATAAAATGAAATAAATCAAGTAGAAGATAAAAATTAAATAAATAAAATTTCGTAATAGAATATTTATAATAATTATCTTAATTTATACTTTTGCTTTTAATCGCTTGAATTTATAACAAATGTTGAATGTTGGTCAGAAGTAAATGAAAATATCACTTTGCTTGCCCTGGTATATCTATTTCAATTTTAAATAAAATTAATTTTAATTTACCTCAGGTTTAGTCAGCTTTGTTTGTTTTATTGCTTGTTGCCTTTTCAATTACAAAACACCAAAAACTATCAGTACTAAAGGAAAACCTCTTGATTGTATTTGCAATTTAAAAAAATCTTAACTATGCAATCATCAAAATTTCGTTTTTTTTTTTTTTTTTCATATAATGGCTTTAAGATTTTTAACTTAAATTAGATAAAATTGGATTTTTTTTCAAATATTTCTATAAAAAAGACTTTTAAAGCACCGATTTTTTTTAGAACTTTAAGTTGGTGGTTCTTTTTTAAAATATAAAATGCCTCGCTTTGACTCTGTTGAAAAGCTTTATAAAGTGTGTTGGCGAATCTCGGGGGAAAAAATGCAGAGCACACAACCCTTTCTCTCGCGTCTTAATGGAGGCGTCTGGGTGAGAATGCAGAATTATCCTGCGTAGAATGTGCACGGCGGCGACACACCACTCGACACGACGTGGAATTTTAATAGAATTTTCCGTCCAATAGAGCGCAGGGCGGCGTGGCAGTGAGCGAGAGCGATTAAATTCAGAGACCGTCCGTGATTGATTTCTGCCTGCTTGGTATGCAACCCTCGCAGCGGGCGGCCTGAATGAGCGTAAATTAACTTGATTGCCTCGCATTCACTCGGCGCGCGCTCCGTCGTTAAGGGCCATTCGGAAAGAGGTGCACGACATTTTATCAAGTACATATGCGACCGAAAACAATGAACAGACCTTCGAAAATAGCGCTCGCGGTCGTTCGCAGGTTATTTCGAGGCTGCGCTGACAAACAAACCTGTTTGATTGCCCGCGGCTGCGGCGGCGACTCAAGAGCAGAAATCTGTCATCCTCAACTCTCCAGTCTGCAAAACACACCGAAAACGACGTATTAGGATAAGACGTGATGAGATATTTCAGTCCAGTAAATAAATCCATCGAACAGGAAAATATAGTTTATTTTAAAAAAAGAAAAAAATTTATGCTTCCAGAATCAATTAAATAATCACAGATAGTACAAAAAAAATTCGATCCAAGTTTATTAAATTATCCGTTTAAATTTTCCCACAAATTTCTCCTGTAGATGTTCATATTTTTTTCAAATTTTAAAGTGTATCTGAATAAAACTGCGATTTTTAGAAAGTTAACATTTTTTTGTATTTTTTTTAAGCAAAAAATCTGCTTACCTTAATTCATTGAAAAAAGGAATGAAAAATAAAACAAAATTTGGCAATTGGATGCATATTATTTACTTTTAATTTCATGGTTGTGACAATGAGCAACAATGAGCATACAAGATAAAAATAATTTTTGATTTCAAATTTTAATTTGTATTTTTGCCAAACAAAACAGTATCTACATTAGAATTATTATTGTAAAATGAATTTTATTTAAAAATAATTAAAATTTTATTTTTAAACTAAAATAAAACAAATTTAATAATAAATAATAAAAATTAAGATTTCTAGTAAAATAATAAACAATTTATATTATTACTGACAACAGTTTTGTGTTTATTTGTTGCTATTTTACGTATTAATTCAAGAACCACCAATAAAAATTTAATGTAAATTATAGTTTGCAGTTTAATGGAAGACGCATTATTCCAATTTTTGATTACGACCAGAAAACAATTTGACGTCCCCTGCTGCACACATAATTAAAAATGCTCGGGACACGCCGTTAAAAAGCTACAGCGCGTCGTTAAAAACGCTCGTTTAATCAGCGATGTATATCCTTTGACGAGAGAGCGCCCATTTTTATTTTATTACACCTGTAGTGTATGTCGAGAGCAAATACGCACCCACGAGGCCGCAAAACGGCGAGAGTTTTTATGGGGGTGCAGCGGCGGCGGCGGCGAAAGATTAATTACAGTCTCTCTCGCTCGCACCTCGTGCTGTTTCTGTCAGTTTTCGGCCGAAGTCAATCAGCCGAGCAATTAAAAGGCCCTCGACCGACTCAGCCCCTCCATCATCGCAAGCATTAATTTGATCGGCCTGCATTTGATTAATAATAAATTCATTATCGAGGGACGAGCCATTTGAAATGGAGAGCGGCACAAGATGGGGAATTCAATTTCGCGCTGATATTGTTTTACCGCCGAAGCCACTTCATCCTCTTATTTTACTTTGCAGGAATTTCCACTCTCTCTCATATATTCCTTGGGTCCCGAAATTCCTCTCTCTCTCTCGAATAGGGGACAAAACGGAAGAGCGTCTATTTCGGTCTTCTTTTGAATTCGCAGGGAAGAAATTCGCTACAGAGGCAGGTCTGCTTTTGTGCAGGAGAGAGCGGAAAATCTTTTGAATGGCGAGAGAGCCCGGCTGAATTTATATACATGTATAAAGGCTTAAATGAAAGAGCATTGGAGCTGAAAAGGGTTTCTTTTCTTAATACCCCGAGCGCGCCACACCCGCTGCGCGCTACAATAATAATATCTGACTCGGCATGTTCAAAGTTGCTAACTTGGCATTAGCATGTGCGCGGGAGGCCGTTTCTCTATTTCCTAACTTCTAACCCGATGTGAATGGAGAAAATATCGCTGCTCGCTGCAAATTTCCTCTCGGCCTAGGAAATTTCGCGAACGGCAGATTTATACTTTATTGTCTGGAGAGGAGATATTTCCAGTGTGGAAGTGCTACGTAGAAAAACAACCAGAAGCTTCCTAAATATACCCTGAGCAGATTCCCAAGTGCCGTTTTAATGGAAGGATAAATATTATTAGTGTATTTTTCAATAATTGGAAGCAGAATAAAAATAATCCGAGATTCAAACCAGTGATAATTAATAGCCTGTCTGTGGAAGTTCTACGTGAAAATCTTAATTTATATTCAACCAGAAGCTTCCTAAATACCCCCTGAGCATATTCCCTTGTGCTATTTTGATGGAGGGACAAATATAATTTTTCAACAATTAGAAGTAGGACGATACCAACCAATACCAACAAAGGGATATCTGAGTCTTGAACCATAATTTGTAAAAGAATTTCATTTATATTTTAAATTTTTAAATTAACATTTCACTTTTATAATTTTGGAATAATTATCTTATACGGAGCTAGATCAGGAACTCAATCAATTTTAAATTGACTAAAATAATAAAATTTTCCAAGATAGAACAAAATTTAATAATTAAAAAAAGTTGTTTTTAATTTTTTATTATTTTTTAAATAAGCTTCGTATTTTTTTCATACTCAAATTCATTTTAATTTTAAAGTTAATAATTAAAAATAATTATAATAATTTA